TAAATAATTAGAAGTTAGGTTTGCTCATTAATGGGAACTTTGGGACCTTATCTTTCAAAATACCAACAATTAAATTCATGATTTGTTAATAATGCTTATATCTTCCTCAGGTGTTGAAAGATTGGCCCTAAAAGGAATTATCAAAGAGTTTGTTCACCTATTCTCATTAGAGGTCTTGCAAAGAAGATGGCTGACGAAGCTAATTTAGAGAAAGGAGCTCTTGAAAATCCTGTGGAAAATATGGAAAATACTTTGAAGGAATTGATGGTTTCTTTCCAATCTCTTCAAGCAACCTCAAGGGCACCTTTGACAACAAATCCTTTGATTGAAGGAAATGTGCCGGTGGCAAGTCTCCCAATTGCCACATCTACTTTAACTCTTGGAAAGGAGCCAATGTCATCTTGCCTACCACATCACACTATTGTTGGAGCTTCTAGGATAAAACCATTTGTTCTGGATGTTGGGGTTGCTACAGTTCAGACTAATGGAAATGATGAAGTGGAGACTCAAGTGGTTAAGTCAATCACAGAGGATGAAGACAAGGCAATTAAAGCAAAGGTGTAGTCGATGGAGGAAACACTAAAATCGATGCAGGAAACACTAAAATCGATGCAAGGTGTCCATACCCGATTGACATCTCATCTTTGTGCTTTTTCCCAAACATTCAACTACCTCATAAGTTTAAATTGCCTGAATTTGAGAAGTACAACGGCACCAGTTGTCCTTATGCTCATTCGACAATTTATTGTAGGAAGATGACTCCTTATGCCAATGATGAGAAGCTAATGATACACTATTTTCAAGACAGTCTAATAGGTCCTGCAGATGCTTGGTTCTCAACTTTAGACAAGAGTAAAGTTAAAAGTTGGCATGATTTGACTTATAACTTTATGAAGCAATATGAATACAACACATCATTAGCTCCTAATAGAGAGGATCTTCAAAAGATGGAAAAGAAATCAAGTGAGAACTTTAAGGAATTCACCTAGAGATGGCGTGGATTGGCTGCTCGAGTTCAACCTCCACTGACTAACCATGAATTGAGTAATTTATTCATCAAGTCAACCAAAGGGCTTTATCATGAAAAGTTGATGACTTGTGTGAATTATACTTTTGCTTAGTTGGTTGTTGTGGGAGAACAGGTTGAGGATGGAATCAAATCTGATGTTATCCTAGATTACCAAGTTATAAAGGATATTCTTGAGCAACATCAAAATGGTAAATTGTTGGAGTTGGATAATTTGACTCACACGGAAAGAGTCAACCAAAGTGAAAAGGACAAAAAGAGAATGAAGTACAAATGGTGAATTCTGTTGCATATTGACTTGGAGAGGCAATTCAAAATCAGGGAAGGAAGCATTGACATTTTGATCCCCTACCATTGTCATATTGAGAAATATTCAATCAAATGGTAGCACTTGGGGAATTGACTCCAATCCCTGCAAACAAGCCTCCTAATCCTTTGCCATTCCAGTATGATCCACAAGCCAAATGTGATTATCATAGCAGGACCATTGGTCATGATATAGAAAGATGTCTGACTCTAAAGCATAAGATTCAAGATTTGAAGGATTCAAAATGCTTACGGTTTCACTCAGACAAGATTGATCTTAGAACTGCTACTGATGAAGGCTTTCACAAGTGAACAATGGAGTTCTTCCTTGTTGCTATCATCGTGGAATAAAAATGTGTCTATCATGTTAGTTTTTATTTGCATTTTCCAAACTCCTTTCATATTGCAATCTTCGTTCTTCATGTTTTAATTCATAGTTATTCAATTCTTGATTTTATACTTCCATGAGTTGCATTGTTATTTTGAACCTCATAGAGAAAATTGAGGTTTGAGGAAAGAGGAAAGTTTGAGAAATAAGGGAGGTGATTGAGGGAGAAATAATGGATGAGTAGGAATGAAGGAAATGTACAAAGAGAAATTGATCTCAAAATTTGAAATAGTCATTCCTATGATAGAAAGCTTGATAGTTTTTCGAAACCTTTTGAAAACCTTTGCCAAGGATTCATCCTTAAGAATTGCCACAAATTGCACCCAAAAAAAAAAAAAAAAGAGAGAGAGGGAAAATTGGGAGTTTTGCTAACTTTGTTAGGTGATTGTCATCATTTTGATGCCTATGGTAGAAGATCCAAGGATAAAAGGCCATCTCTTTTTGAAACTTCATTCCCTAAACCTTGAAGGATTACCCTTAGTTAAACACTTTGAGCTTAATTTCAATGAACATTCTTTCATGACCAACCTGGGAATATTGTTGCACGCCAAATTGGGGGCAAAGGTCACTTTCATTGGAGGATTTGGTAAAAACCATTTTGAAGGGAAGAAAGAAACTCAAAGAAAGTGGAAGCTCAAAAAGAAGAAGAAGAAGAAGAAGAAGAAGAAGAAAATGGGTATAAAGGAGCCAATAAAAGAGAAGAAAGTTTTAAAATAAATTGAAGAAGAAATCTCTAAGACATGGGATGCAATTAGGGGGCAAGTTGGGTACTTTGAGCTTATATTGACTATTCTTTCAATAGTCATATCTAAGCCCTATAACAATCCATAAAAGTCCTTTTGAGGGTTGGATATTTGTAGACATTTTGATGATGACAATCACCAAACTTGGGATAGCAAATCATACTCAGATTAAAGAGCTTTTATGTTCAATGATGAAAGGCTTTGTTTTTATTTCCCAAACATTAAAGTTAACCTTAGTTACCCACTTTGAGCCAAAAGCAAAGGCAATCATCATAAGAGGAAAGCCAAGATGATTATTTCGTTGAATGTACCTGCATCAAGAGCCTGGGGTGTGAAGAGTGAAATTAGGGGGGCAGAACCGATTTTGTCAATGAGCTTATATGTCATTTCTTTCAAATTCGCCAACCCCTAGACCATGATGCAAGCTTATTTAAAGCCCTTATCAGAGAATTTGAAAGCTGTTGAATCTGAGTGTGATATTTCTCAAAAAAAGAGAAGAGAAGAAGGAAGGAAGATGAATAGAAATAAATGTGGCAAACAAGTTGAGATTTCATGGGAAGGAAAATTTTATTGCTCTAGCCAAAATCTCAATTTTTGAAAACTCAAAACTCCACTTGGTTCCTAAGTAATTCTCATTGGCACTTTCGCTATTGTTATCATTTGAAATCTTTACAAAGCTATTCTTGAGGAATTTCCTCATTTGTGAAAATAGGATCAATTTCTTTTTGAACAAAAAAAAAAAAAGAGGAAGATTCAAAAGCGAAGTGTGAGAAAAGACATTTGTGTTTTGGGAGCTGCTTCTGAAAAAGAAAAAGAAAAAGAAAAAAGAGAGAGAAAGAGAAAAAAATTGTATGAAAGGGGCATCTTAATTGTATTCTACATCAAATTGGCAGTTCTTACTCACGGAAGTTAAATCACATTATTTGTTCATATAATCCATTGTGCTTCATAAGATTTTTCTTTAATCTTACCCATGACTGTTTTAAACATTACTGAATTTGGCATCGATTTCAGCATCTTTGAAAGGTTCAAAATCATCATTTTTGCATGTAAGATTTGACATT